TAGGGAAAAGAAGTAATTTGGAAAAAGTACGGTGTCTACGTGTTTTTGTTACTTTATTTGCAAAACGCGTGCAGAAAAACTGTATAACTTTGACAATCGAGTAGAATCGTTGTTTCCTTGGAGGACCTTGAATTGTTTGAAGGTTACTACGTAAAGGATTCTTCTTTTTCTTCTTCCTCTTCTTCTTCCTCATTTTTACAGCAAGTCTGCAATTTTAATAGTAAGAAAATAATAATGACTATCAAGTACTCTAATTAGTTTGAAAAATAAGATATCTATGTAGTTTATAATGAGTAAATGAAATACTAGAAGTTGTGTGTAATGTATAATTTATTTAATTTTTTTTTGTTTTGCATAATAATTAGTTTTTTAAATATTATGTCGGAATCAACATAGAAGGATATACGTTTCCGTATCTTCGTGTAACCATCTTCATATAAATTTCCATATATTGTAAACAAATTCTCTTAGGATAATTAACAGAATAAGCACTCGTTTTCATAAAAATCAGATTTAAATGCTCGAGATTATATCTGAAAAAAAATATTTAAATTAAATATCGTATAATTCGAATAATTTGATCATCGACTCGCCAATTTTTTTAGCTGATAGAAATTAGCTCCCGCTTGATCACTATTGAGTGACCTATAACTCATTATATCAGTCGTTTCGATGAAAAGAAAGAAGACGAATACGCCCATTAGAATTTATTCTGAAAATCAAATTAAAATTTCAGCTTCGCGTTGCAACTTCTTCGAAAATTTTCTTCGTCGAAAAGAAAAGAAAAAAGAAGGAATTCGTTCTTTTTCGTTGATTTTTCGAAGCCACGGGACGCGAATCAAATTCGAATTTCACGCGTTTCATCACGCGTAACATTTCTTAACAACGTTCGTGCGGATCTCGCGCGTGAAAATGGCGTCGATTTATTTACGTCCCCCTTCCCCGTTTACTAAAATCCATGTCTTCGATCTATAAAAATTTTTAAAAATCCTATTTCGAAGCAATTCATAAACATCGATCTAACAACAACTTGCACAACAACCCTCGATACAAAAATGATCACCTTCCTTCCAATCACGCCTTGTCACTTGTCTCACCCCCGAAACGACCCCTTTCCTTTTCGTGCATCCCCTTCCCCGATTCCTCAATGCCTCTAAACACGTGCCTCGAGCTGTCCATCGAGCAAATTCGGGCGCGCGTGCTGCGCTTCCGACTCGGACGGCGAAAAGAAATTTCGCGTGCGTGATCAGAGTTGGCTGGGGGACGATGGCTGGGCCACCAGACATCAGCCAGGTGGCGGCCGAATTACAAGGTTTGCGCAAACGTGGCTTAAACGCCACGTCTCTCGAGTGTGTACAGCGTGTATATCCCCACGTGAACATCGGCCACGTTGGCAGGTTAACAGAACTACCAGCAACAACAACAATAACAACAACAAGAAACGGGG